ACTAGGTTGAAGATAAACAAAAAATAAATCTTTCCTCAAGTTTCCAGTCCCATAGCATGTTTCATTTCGAAAATACAGCAATTATTTATTTGTACCTCCAAGTTTTCACAGTTCGAGACACCAAAATAGGAATTATGTCTGATTGAAAGAAAGTCTTTCCTCTTAGTTTTCAGCAGTTTAACCATGTCAAGTATTAGAAGATGTGTTTATGCGCACATATGCTAGCCCTCGACTGAAAAGAAAGAGCTTTTGTAAAAAAGTGAACTCCAGATGTTTTTGTTGTTTTCCGGCGCCATATTGGTGTACCAAAACTTTACACCAATATGGGGTCTCATCTGCACTTGTTTGGATCACCTCTTGCTTCATGTTGTTAAGGTTTTTAACTTGTTATGTTTTAGTAGACCAATTTTAATATAAGAAATTCATACTTGGCTCTGAGGCTTGGGGAATAAAACAAATGAAGTCACATCGAGGCTCAGGATTTAATATTACTCATTTCTTTTGTTTTATTCTCCCAAGCCTTGGCAACAAGTCAAGTGTGATCTTTAATATATCACATTCGGTCTAATGAAATTATTTGTTTTGTTATCCCTGAAATGCCCCTAAAGGGAGAAGGCTATTTTGCCCTGGAAATTTTTCCCATTCACTTTCTCTCCTCCCCACTCCTTTTGCTTTTCTTCATGAACGTATAATTTATTTAACATGAACATATAATGAAGGAAATACAGGTGAGGAGTGGAGCAAGATTTTTGTTGGAATTTTGTGGTGAAAAAAAAAATTTCTCTGGCCTGCTTTAGTGCATCATGTTCAATTGCTCAGTTGTTTATGGTTGTTAAAGATCATAATGTTGCAAGTGTTACAAGGGATGTGGCTCCCTACAGTTGGTTTGTGTGGTTGACATGTGAAATGTTTTAAGTATTTCTTATTATCTTCTTTACAGGTTTGAACAAGAAATTGCAGAACATCCTGTAGCAAGGCCAGTTATAGCCACAAATACTTTTCGCATGGCCTCCAAAGCAATCGAAAACACTCCCAAACCCTTACCCACTCAACAGATTCCTAATAATCATTTCACACCAAGACATCAGACTCCACACCCACCTCCTTTACTACAACCTCCACTCTCAAATCAAATGCCACCTCACATGCAGGTTCCAGTACAACGTCACATGCAAGTCCCACCAAATCAATTACCCGCACCACCAATGCCACCCGCGATGAACCTCCCTCCTGGGGTCCAGCCCATGGTACCTCAGATGGTTCCTAATCCTGGGCTTCCTGTAGGCCCTGTTATGGCTCCACCTGGGCTACCTATGGTTCCAATGCCTATGCCTGTAGGGGTACCTGTGGCAATGCCAGGGGTACCCGTGGCAGGGCCAGTCGCTCCCACTATGCCAATGATGACTGCAGAGGAGCAAAAGGAATGGGAATCAACTTATTCACAGAGTGGAGCTGCTGCTGAGGGAAAAGAAAAAAAGAAAACCAAAGAGAAAAAGTTTATAAGAGTTGCTGGAGACACAGTGTGGGAGGATAGCTCATTATCAGAATGGGAACAAGGTACAAAACTGGTTTTTGATGGTTGATACTGATTTTTTAATTGCGTTTTCCCGTTTTCTGTGTGTTTAAGTGCATTTTTCCAGAGAATAGGACAGCAAAGTGCCGACTGTTGTTTATTGTGTAGGTGTGGCTCTTACATGGGGTTAACTTTCTGCTGACTGGTTTTGGTCTAATGTGATACAGTAAAAACCTGTACGTAAGAAACTGGTTTTTAAGAACCTTTTAGACTAAAATTTGCCAGTTAGACCTCCTCTGTGCAAGTAAAATAAAATACACATAATGGTAAGCAGGTTTTGCACAAGGAATAAGCTGAATACTCCAATATACCCTAAGCTACAAACTATTTTTGCTTCAGAAAATAAGAACCTTTTAAGAAACTAAATAGCCTAAATTTTTGCCAATTACCATTTATGTGAGAACCTGTTTAGGCTAACTTGGGGAATGCAGGTTCTTACTCGCGGGTTTTTACTGTATTATTTTTTTTCTAAGTGCATTTTCTAGTGTCAGACAGCGAAACACTGGTTGTTGTGTCATAAGCATGGCTGTTATGTGGGGCTAATTTTATGCAGAAAAGATACAAAAAATTTTTGTCAGGACTGCCTTACAGCCTTTCCTAGTGCTTATTTACACCAGATATTTAGGGGGTGTATTTCTGCCATAAATGTTTAAAATGTAATCTCTGATTAAATATGTGGGATGGTAGCTGAGAGGTTTTTTTATACCATACAGGTGCATGTGCACTGTACGTTGTACATGTAGCCTAAAAAATGGCTGTGCGCATCAGTGCCTTTTGTAAAAAAATATTTTTTATTGGCAGAATCAAAGTTAACACTTGCACTCCTGATGATGAAAAAAGAATTCCAATTTTTTTAAATAATCCTAACAAAAATAGTACGGTGCAAAAGTTCTGTCAAAGAGGTTTAATTTGAATGGTAACACCATAGGATTTCATCCTTAGATTCAAAATGTAGAACTACATACTTACGTGGGAAGTACTGCTGAAGAGGTTTCATTTGAATGGTCACATCAAAGGATTTTGTCTACAGACTCAAAAGTTAGAACTGCATACTAAATAAATAGTACCATGTGAAAGTACTGCTGAAGAGGTTTCATTTGAATGGTAACACCATGGTATTTTGTCCACGGGTTTTAAAGTTAGAACTACGTACTAAAGAAATAGTATCATGTAAAAGCACTGTTGAAGATTGAGGTTTTATTTGAATGGTAACACCATAGGATTTTGTCCATAAGTTTAAAAGTTACTGTGACTCATCATCCCGCCATAACTTGGTCTTGGAGGGAAAGCATTAATTGAACATCTCTCTTTCTTATGCGCACTTTCCTTTTTTATTTCAGACGACTTCCGAGTGTTTTGTGGTGATCTGGGTAATGAAGTCACTGATGAGATTTTGACAAGGAATTTCTCAAAGTATCCATCTTTCCTGAAAGCAAAAGTTGTCCGTGACAAAAAGACAAATAAAAGCAAGGGATATGGTTTTCTCAGTTTTAAGGATCCCAATGATTTTATCAAGGCTATGAGAGAAATGAACGGTAAGTCATAAGATCAATGCAGACTAAAACTATAAAAAAATGTTTAGTTTTCTTGAAATCACAACTTAAACACAGTAATTATCATCATCAATAGACCCCATGGTTTTTTCACTTTTGACAGGGACCAGTTAGCAAAAATTGATCAACATGATACAATACCATACAATACATTTTATTGATTCTCCCAATTGGGTTTTTCAGAATTAATTTCCAGGACTCATAAGGCTAAGTAATGTACAAAATAACTAAAAATTACATGTAAAAAAGTTACAATTGAATTTGAAATGCTAGAACTGCAATTATGAAATGTAAAAAGCTAACAAACAATTTGTTAAAAAATGTAAAAAAAATATGGGTAAATGTTCACAACTGGAAAGAATGCCTCAATATCAGTAAAGTTGCCAAGTTTGAAAGTTATATTTTGAAAACTAAATGAAGATATAGCTGCGCAAAGTGGCAGAATTTTATAGACCTTTATTCGGTGGGGGGTAAGTTCATGCCCATCGCCTTACAAACATTTGTGGAGGAACAGGTCTGAAGTCACTTGCTTTGGATATATCTCCTTTAATTAGACTTGGTATGTTTCCTGACTTTAAAGAGGTCTTTCCAGAAGTGTCAAAGGATATTTCCTTACTGGTCTTTATCAAACCTTGATTAAAACACTTGAAAGGGTATATAGGGTCTAAAGGTCTACAGAGTGCAAAGAAAGTCACTTTAAGTTTTACAGCCTGCCATTCGGGCGAGCTGAAGCTAACATTTACTAGCCCAAACATCATTTCAACTAGCCCCAAAAACGTTTTGATGAGCAGATTGGTTTTACAGTTCCTCTGTAATTTGGATTCCTCAAAAAACATCACTTTCCCGTCGGGCAAGTTAATAACAGAACTCACTAGCCCGATAGCAAAACCCACTACCCCCGGGCTATCGCATACAACTTTCTTTGCTCACTGGTCTATATCATGTATGATGTTATTCCACCAAAAATAATAACTACACACAATAAAGATGTTCCACTAGCCACCATCCAGGGAGCTGCAAGGCCTGCTGCTTCTGGGGATGGTGTTGTTGTATTCATAAACATTACTCCCTGATTTCAAAACAAAGAACAAACCAGGCAGTTACATAAAGACATCCCTCTTCTAGACAAGATGAGAAGGTTGCAAAAGCTATTTGAAAAGTATCATAACAATAATTGACAGGGTTTGTAGTGAGTCTTGAATTCGTGAAAATGTCTTGAAATTTGCCCAGCAATTTTCCAGACTTGGAAAAAGTCTGGAAAGTAGAGGTAAAGTCTAATTTGAAAAATGGTAAAAAGTCTTGATTTTTTTTTTAAAGTTTTTTTTTGTTTTGGTCAAACCCTATTCAGCCTCATCCATACGTTGCAGGGCATCATGAAAAAAGCTTTGTTCCTGCGAAGGTCTCTATTGATCACCTATATGTATTTGATAACCTCGAGTCTGGAAAAAGTCTTAAATTTTGGATCCAAAAATTAATCTTTACAAACCCTGATTGATATAGATATTTACAAAACTATCTGATAATTATCAATAGGTCAACATTTAATAAATTAAGTTATTGTTATTAAATCACTTACAATAATGACCTGTTACAGTTTCAATAGGTCAATATATCATTTCACTCTTGTTTTAGCAACACATTCACAATAGTAAGAGCTGAGATGGCAGACCCTCTGTCCAGACAATAAACACCTGCGAATAAGAACCTAGTGGATTAAGAACCTCCCGGCAGAAATTTGCCCTTTTAATACCCAAAAATAGAAGAACCTGTTTAGCCAAGCAAGATCAAGCAGGTTCTTATATGTGGGTTAAAGCTAAATTATGATAAACAATTGAACAATGGAGTGTAACTTTGAGATTGTAAATTTAAGTATAACTACAAGAACATACTGAACCAAACTGTATAGTGAATGACGATGTGATATTCTTTTCTATTTCAGGCAAATATATAGGCAACCGCCCAATCAAATTAAGGAAAAGCACTTGGAAAGACCGAAGTATAGACGTTGTCAAGAAGAAACAAAAAGAAAAGAAGCGCTTGGGATACAGATAACACAAAATTTATTCATTCTAACTTGAAAATATATCTCGGTATATGTGGGAATCTGGCTTATTTCTATGGCATTTTTAATATTTTCACTACTAAAAGCTTACACAAAATAATGGTGTTGCCTTTTTTTCCTCAAACTTTTAGAGTGATTTTACTTAACCTATGAAATATATAGTAGAATACTACACACTATTATGCGCTAATTCCATTGTCATCTTCTGTTTACTTGTTGCTGTTTTGCTCTAGTTGTTAGTGTATCTGTTTCACAGTTCAAGTAAAATCACTCTAACAGGATGGCACAGTTTTACTAACCTTGCTGCAACAAATAGACATTTGAGTTTAAAACCGAAAAAATATAATAAAATTTACGCCAATCAATTAACCCATTCGCCCCTGAACCGCCCGTAACCGCCTGTGCGGATCCACGTCCTTTCTACCCTTTGTGACGTCATCAGTTTTAACGGCCAAGGACAACTTTTTCCACTAACTTGTGCAGAGTGAAGAGATCTTTCAAACCATACCAGAATGAGCACAATTCAGTCAAGGACACCAGAGAAAGAGGCAAAAAACCATGTAACATTGACCTGAAAATCTCCTAGACTGCTGTGTCACTTTTAAACCCAAAAACTATGTCGAAATTTTGCTTTCTGCGCATGCCCGAACTTCGCAAGCTGATATTTTGCATCTGGATCAGAAGGCCATGAAGTGTACGACCTGTAAACCGGTTTGGGGTAAGTTTCAGCTCTTTATAGCACGATAGTGACCAGAAAACCACTCGACTAGCTTCAAAACGCGTTTTTCGGCAAAATCTCCAGGAGTGAATGGGTTAATATGGCTCATTTTTCTTAGGCTTACGATGGATTTGCCAGTTTAATTTAACCCACATTGACAATACTTGTTTTTAGTTCACATTCCTCTGGATCAAATTATTGTGTTCTTTCTTTCTGCTTAAAAAAACATTATTATTATTTATGATAATTGTCTTCCAATCACTGCAAGCAATATAATTATCATATTGTTTGCAGTGATTGGAAGACAATTTCAAGTTGGCCTTAGAAATACATTAGGGACTGCAGTTGAAGCAGGGCTTAAAAGGGCATTCTCATTTGCTTGGTGGGCAAGGGCCCAGTCAAGTCGTCTTCCAACTAAGTTGTTAAAATAGTAAATGAAGACTTTCCCAGGACAAACAAAATTTGAGAGCTGCTTGTCTGAAGAGCAAGCTAGAATTCAAGCTTTTTTGCGTCCTGTGAAGGAATCAACCTCAGATGTTGCATAACATGGACACCTTGATTAACACATTTCAATTTATTATCACTACAGTCTTAAAGGTGTCTTAATGGACGCTTTCTTAAGTGGCGACACTTGTAGCTGCCCTGACAAAACCCTGTTGCACTAGTCGCCAAAAAGAGCCTCCTTCATGCATGGTCACTCCATCTTCTCTGTGTCTGCTTTTGAGAGAATTTCAAATTTTGTTTACTGAGATGTGGAGAAACCAAAATTAAACCTTTTTAGAATGTAACTATGGAAATAATTTAATTTTGGGCTCCATCTCGCTAGGCTTCCTAAACACAAAACTCATTGCCATTCCCCTTATTGGAAACTCAGAAAACTGTGAACATCAGAGATATTTTCTGCAATGTTATTGTGTTGCAAGGAAAAAGCCAATCAGGCATAAGGAAACTAAACCGAATAAAAACGTAAATTATAGCCTGCGTAGCTGGGGGGATCATTAGAGCAAGCAAAAACTCCAAAGCCCTGTGGAGAATGGGGAGGAGGTGATTTGAAATCAATGGTAGCTTCTCGTCAAAACTGTCACATGTGCAAAAACAATTCCACCAGCTATGCAGGCTACGTATTAGTTTGTGGTTTTGTGTCTTGCTTATGTGTCCTGGTCTTTGCTGTGATCATTCACAGCAAATTAGGTCAACAATGTGTTAGTAACAACATACGTATCTAATACACTAAAAACCCGCAAGTAAAAACCTGTGTTTTCCAAGTTAGCCCAAATAGGTTGTGACATAATTGGTAATAATGAACACAAATTTAGGCTGTTTAGTTTCTTAAAAAGGTTCTTATTTTCTGAAGAAAAAATACTTTGTACCTTAGGGTATTAGAATTTTTCAGCTCATTCCTTATGAAAAACCTTTGCAGTTGGAGTGATAAAGGCACCTATGTCTCCAAATGTTGACTTTTCTCATTTGCCCAACTGACCAGAATTTTTAAATAGATTTTAGAAAATAAGAATCGGTTTCAGATTTTAGGCTAAACAGGTTCTTGTATAGAAGGGGGTCTAAGTGGCAGTTTTTAGCCTAACAGGTTCTTAAAAACCAAGTACTTACTCGTGGGTTTTTACTGTAGTGTAAATAATGTATATAACTACTGTTGTTTGCTTTAGTTAGTTATGACCTTAGACTAGAGGTTTTCAAGAAAAGAAATAAAGTTATGTTTCCAAAACAAGTTGAGGCGGTTAATCATTATTTTTTGTCATATTTGCCTGTAAATTTATAAGAGGGTAGTAAGTAAATAAGTATGCTAGCATGCTTGAAAATCACCACTCAAGGAGAGGCGGGGTTGCGGTAGGGTTCTTTAGAAAATTTAAAGTGGAAGGAGAAGAACTTAAGTAGGTTACAATATATCAGATCTGAAGGTGAGCTCCTTTTATGGGACACAGCTGCATATTGGGTTAGGCAGGGGTGGAAAATATTGATTTGGAGAGGTGGAGAACTGAAAGGTACAATGTTAGTGATCAGGGAAAGAATTTTTGTTGTGAGGATGGCATCTTTATTTACTCACATAATTTTCATTATTTTGTATCTCATATTTGTTTTTGTCAAACGGTAGTTGAGAGACAAATACTGTAGATTTATTGTCTCACTCAGAGGATTATCCTCTGTGATTAGCTGGTGGTGTTCACTCATCTCTGTAGGTCCTGGACAACCCTGATTGCAATTGACCTGCTAGCAAGCTCTCCATTTATGGTGAGGGAAGCGAGCCACAAGAGAACGCGTGAGAGAGTGGCAAAGTCACAAGGGGCAGAGGAAAGGAGAATCTCCCTGTCTTTCCCTGCCCCTCGACTCCCATCTCCTTTTGCGTACTGTTCTCACATGACTTCTCGTGACTACCCCAAATGAAGAGCTTGCTCGCAGGCTAGATTGCAGTTGGCTATTTTTTTATGAGTGCCATACACCCATTGCTCATGTTCAACTATCCCTGAAGAACATAAGGGACCACTTTTATAAGGAACATAAGAGAACTGCTCTGTCTAGGAGATTTTTTGCTGTTTTTAAGTAAATCAAAGCCAGTTAGAACTGACCTTGATTTTGTTACTAACAGTTCATGTCTGAAGGCTGCATTCATCATTTGCACATCTCCCATGATGCACCTTTTTTGTCCCCCAAAATTTTGCACAAGCATTATCTTCAATTTCTACAGTACCAGGAGAAGTTTTAATTATGCATAACTTGGGGGGTAAAAAAGGTGTTTCATGGGAGATCTACAAATGGCGAATAATTGAACTCCAGTGTAAAATGATTGATTAGAAATGATTAACTTAAAACAGTTTTAATGGTGTCTCAATGGTGTAAACAAGTCTTGACCCCTTATCAGAAATTTTCGACGAATCCGCGTCTGGGATCTATTCTTACCAAGTGTCCGTCATGTAGACTATTAATTTACTATCTTGTTCCCTGAGATGAGGTTGTGGTACCTGAGAAATCCTTTGAGTATTTTCATATTGAAATGGACTACTATATACACTTGGTTGGCTGAAAAAATATGTTAAAATTTCTGTTTTCTTTCAGTGCCTTGTCACCAACGCACTCATCCAAGGCTGCCTGTTCAGTAAAACGGACAAATTTGATTGGCTACGAAGGTAGGGCCCACGAGACTTATCCAATCACAATCCTCGATTAAGCAACCTGTTCGAGGTTCTCGCGTGCTGTAGTGCAAAAGTGAGAGATCATCACGAAACACTTCGGAAAAATTGAAGATGGACCTCGTTTTGGAAGCGCTTGATCTGTATTTGTTCACTCCTTATGTATATCCTACATCTTGGCCCGAAGATAACTGGCTCAGGCAATTTTTGTCTCTCCTCATTGTTGTCAACATTGGAGGCGTGATAATGTACTTTGCATTCGCCTCGTTCAGTTTTTTCTTCGTGTACGATCGCGAGCTCATGAAACATCCACTCATTCTGGAAAATCAGATCCGTAAAGAAATCACAGTTACAATGACATCCGTTCCATTTGTTAGCCTGCCAACGGTTGGATTATTTGTGCTTGAAGTTCGCGGCTACAGCCGTTTATATATGACCGATCTCTCCAAGTCTTCATGGCCGCAGGTTCTTGGTGACTTCGTACTAAGCTTGATCGGTTTCCTCACATTCACCGACGCATTAATTTATTGGATCCATCGAGGGCTACATCACCGTTCAGTTTACAAGTATCTTCACAAAGTTCATCATCGCTGGAAGGTCCCAACGCCGTTTGCAAGTCACGCCTTCCATCCGATCGACAGTTTCCTGCAAAGCTGTCCCTATCATGTGTATCCATTTATTTTTCCACTGGATAAATATCTCTACCTCGCGTTGTTTGTTATCGTCAATATTTGGACTGTGTCGATTCATGATGGCGATTACAGGGTGCCAAGACTGTTTGAACCTCTTATTAATGGTTCTGCCCACCACACTGATCATCACCTCTATTACAACTATAATTATGGACAGTACTTCACTTTGTGGGACCGGATCGGCGGCTCGTTCCGTTATCCAAGCGCATTGGAAGGCAAAGGTCCGATGGATGAGCTAAAGAAAATGAAAGGAAAATGATTGATGTTTGCAGTTATCTATGACAGCTATAATTTAAGATAGGTTTGTCAACAGGCTTGTTTCTAAGACCAGTCACACCTCCGGAACACCCCCAAACCAGGGGTCCCCGATTTGATGTGTTTGGTTTTGCTTTGGGGTAATAATTACATATTTGTGTTTCAATTAAGTTGTTTAATACGGTAAGCTAATATTGCCACTAAACTAAGGTATCACTTAGGGTCGAGTGAAGAAATACCTATCTCCTATATACTGAAAACAAAAAATCAGACAAGCAAAGAAAATGCTGTCATACTGTGTTAGAGTATGATCTCCTTAATTTCCCACATTGGTCCTCTTTATGGGTTTCATTTTAATTTTTTAACCCTGGGAAAGAGGTTCCTGACAAGCATCCCTTTTTGATTCATAACCGGGAGGGAGGGACCCCTGGTAATTCTTGCTGGGGGTGTGCCGCCCAGTTCTCCAAATCCTGACCCTATTTCAGACCCAAAAAATGCCATTTTCCACACCCGTTTCAGACCTGGCCTTTAGGCAGAAATGATGTCATCATTACTCACACTGGAGTGCCAACAAAAAAATTCTTCAAATGCATGTCAAGTTTGCATATTTCTTTTGCGTTCTTATTCATTTGGAACTAAAGCAATAAATACGTTTATATGCTCCCGTAGTTCCCTCGCAAACTATACCTGATTCCAGACCAAAGTAAGCAAAATGTATACCCGTTTTCAGATAAATTTTTATCATTCACAAATATAAAAATGTCTTAAGTGTTAGTTCACTTGTGTCATGAGTCAACTTGCGATTATGAAAAATAATATATATATTTTTTTAATTTTTACTCAAAGTTAGCTTTCTTGTCAAAGTGGTTTTGTTGATGTTTGTTGAGTGAAGTGGAGGCAAAGTCCATTTTAAGATGTAACTTTGATCTGAATCCGATCTAAATAAATCCCAAATCCTCACTGGTGGTGGGCAGGATAAATCCGTGCAATAGGGGCTTTTCATTCAGCCAAAACTATTGAAATTTTGGTTGAAAGTCAAATGGAATGATCCATCCTGGTTCAATCGAGCTAGAATATTACTAGCCTGCGTTGAAGCTGCAGCCCACGCATCATCTAGACCATTTGTATAGTCCATCTGTGTATTAGTGCACAAAAGCTTGTTCTGATATCCAGCAGCGTCACAAGGATATATGTGAGCGTTTCTGATAGGCAGGTTTCTTATGGGTGTCTTATGCGGCTATCACAATTTGCCCAATTCTTGCATGTGCATGACAGTTGGATGCAGTGACAACATCAAAATTCACGGAAGAGAGTTGGCAACTGAAGTGTTTACAGTAAACTGCAATGAAAGAGCAGTTCGAACTTGAATTAAGGCCTTCTTCTGAACAAGAAAAATGCTTTGAGGGAATTCCTTCAAGGCCAAAATGTGTTTTTAAATTTGTCAACTGGTTTTCCAGTGTCTTCCAATCTCTGTAGATGCACTGCCATGTATTCTGCCATCTAGCTGACAGTTCTAGCATCAAAACAAATCTGGAAATCGTTATATTCAGACAAAAAAAATACACATACGTAGCTATTCAGGTCCAGGCATTTCAGAGAAAACCAAAGAAACTAGGTTATTAGCTGCAATATGAAGCTTAAGGCTTTATTAGAAGTACAAAAAGGAAACCATTAAGGGTAAACTGTATCTTTAATAAAATCCTGTCAGAAAACAACCACTGCAGATTACATAAATCACAGGAACTAATTATTACTCAATATGCATGGAACAGACCAACTCTATTACCTCTAAATGTGAGGCTCAGAGCAACATAAATGAGATTTGCTCAGTCAAAGTTTTGAATACTCCATATGCATGCACTGCATAATCCATGCCATATGAGAGAAAGCAAGAAAAACCTCAGTCTGTTGTTCAAGTTGACTCTAAGGTCATGTTTCACACTATCATAAGCTCATATTATAACTGTCATAAACTGCATAAGGAAGTAGCATATAAAAAAAATGCCAACATATGTCTTTGCGACACTGGGGGGATTTGAACACGTTATTGTGCACTAATTTGCAGAGGCTCTATACAGAAGGTTCAGTGGCTGCGATGCAGGCTAGAATATTAGGCACTAATTCATTAGCTACTTGGAATTTTTGTTAAATGGAACATGAGTTTGAGAAGAAAGTAAGCAGTGGTTTATCAGTCATTGTGATGATGTCATTTGACAGCAACTACCATTCAGTGACAGCAACTACCATTCAGTCTTTCTGTATAGTTGCTTTCAGGTGCTAAACAGGGTCCACAGTGTGACTCGGAATTTCAATAAAAATGCAGGCGCGAAGTAAATTTTGTTACTTGTACTAATAACCAGGGGGGTATTCGACAAAGTTTAATAGAGGGAGGCTCTGCCCTGAGGTCAACCGTTTCTTATCCTTGAAGAGAAATGGTACCCCTTTTGTATACTTTCTATTGACAAAGGGTGCCCCTTTTACAAACCTAATTTATACCTTGTCAT